GAAGAGGAGACATCATCACCCCCACTCAACAAGAGATCTTAATTGTGTCAACGACAAGCTCAAGGTTAGACCAACTGATACCTCATCATCCTCCTCGCGAATGGTGCGATCATCATCATCGTCGTGGTCTCCATTGGTCAGCTAATGGTGGCCACCGAGGATCCCTATCCGATCCCGGGCTACCGAATTGCCGCGTGATGTGGGTGTGTGAGGCACTGCTTGGCCAGCTGGAAGGCCTTGGTCAGGATATTCTGCGAGGAGCGGTGCGTCCCACCGATCCGCAGCGCTCCATGCTGTTCCGCTCCCGCTGTCTTTCTATCAGCGAAATGGTATCGTAGTCATCGTAGCCGGAACAGGTGCTGCCCGTGGTGCAGCGACTTTCCGATCCTCCTGCACGGCCACTCTGGCTGGTCGTCCTACGCGTCCTCCTGCCCATGGCGGTCCATTCCTCCTGCACATGATCCGTGCGCTTGAGGAAGTTCTGTATCTTCTCGCTCAAATAGGCGGACGAGGTGCGGATCCTCGAAAGAGGGCGAGGCCCTCATCGACTGATGCACCGGCTGTCTCTGGCAGCCAAGGACAAAGGACAGATTGCCATCAAAGACCACGGGCGAGCTCTCCAGCTGCCGCATCTCGTAGGGATCACATCCACCTGATCCTCGGGTGTAGCTCTGCGGAAAACCCTTCTTGGGGCGTCTGCAGCCTTGAGCTGGTGTTGTAATTGGAGATCGATGACTGGGTGGAGCAGCGAGGACACCGAGTAGGCGGGACTGGGTGAACGGTTCACCAGGCGGAGGCGATCACTGCTATCCGACCTGCAACCGAATTCAGTGGCAGTTTCAGCGAGATCTCGTACGGGCTTTCAGTGTCCTTATTATTACCCAGCAAGGATGATGAAAGCGACGTAGAGCTCGAGGTTTTGGAAGTGTATTTGCTGGTGGTGTTCAGTGTGGTGGATCGTGTGGTGTGGCCATTGGTGAGCACAGGACTCTGCTCCCGCTGTTTGGGCAGCAGGCGGATCTGCTTCCTGGCCTGGCTGGGCGGTGGTTTGGGTGGTCTGGCCAACGGAGCAGATCCACTCAATGTGGAGTTCAGCGAGGAGCCGCTGCTATTGTTGTTGTTCTGGGAGGCCAGGCCTCCTGATCTCGGTCCGCCGTTCATGGCTGCCAGTACGCGGGCCAGAAACTTCTGCTTCTCCGATCGGTTCGATTCTAGAGGTACTGCATCCTCATCTCCTGAAGCTGCAATGTCAGCGGTAGCTTCATTAGCAGGCGACAGGGGAGGCATGGGTTCGGATTATTTGCAAGCGGGGGCGGAAGGGGTTAGAGGGTTTTTTTTGGGAAAGGGGTTTGGTATCTTGGCTTGGGGATTTGTTTCTGTGCAAGATTTCTCCTTGGCCAATATTTGTCGAATTTATTCGTGTTTCTGTTCGCAAATTTCGAAATTTTTATGTCGTTTTGTCGTTGTTTGTTATATCAATCGTGTGTTTTGTGGGATTATATTATGCTAGGGGCTGTCAAAAACTTGAGACCGTTGATGCAATTTAAATTTATCTCGGACTGAATTTTTGGTTGTCTTGTTGTTGCTGCATTTATTTCGCGCACGCTTCAAATTGCCAACGGATTTTCCTTTGTTTTCGCAGGCTTTTTTTATTGCTTTTGGCAGCGATTCTTCACAGACGCACGGCAGATCAGATCAGATCGGATAGGATAGAATCGGATCACATCGAATCTCCCGGATACGGCATCTCGGGCCTCAGGCGTACGCGACGTTTGCTCGGCGACTAAGTGATGCGTACGGATTTCGCTGGGTTCTGTTCTGGCCAGCGGAAAAAAAAGCTCGCCGGCTATTCTTCTCTCTACTTTTTGGCAAACCAATAGCCCGAGAAATCTCTATATCTCATTATAGAGAGAGCGAGAGTAGAGGCGCCAAGTCAATTGCAACATCGCAGCAGTTCCGGCTATATCACATAATCTATGGTCTGACGGTTGTCTCTCGATTTCGGCCAACTGTTGATCCAATAATTTGGCAATCTTTGATGGCATTATGTAAATCCTATCGCATTTTATCCCAGCTGCAACTCAACTGTAGCGCGACAAAGTATTATTAATGATCTTTTAGAGCATTTAAAAATACATCTGGCTATTCTGGTGTGCGATATGTGCGAAACATTGCCTTAGCATCCACATCGCATCCCATCCATCTTCACCAGAAAATATATATATGTGCTCGCACGGACTCTCAGAGTCAGAGTCAGTTGGTGTTCAATGCCCAAAAGTCTATATTTAGCACACTTCAAAAACCAAATAATACAAATGAAAGGGAAATGGAAATCCACTGGCGAATTGTGCATCTTATTCGCGCTTACTATGGAAAAGGAAATCGATCTTGAATTGATTAACCCTTAATCTTAGGAAAAAATCTAAGGTATTAATATGTTACCCAAGGGCGCAATAGTAAGGAACTGAGTTATCTTAAAAGATTTCGTAAAATCACCTTAAAGAACCATTGTTTATATACTCGATCCCTTAAAATCACTTCTGAAGACGCCAGAAAATAAACTGTCAAACTAGTTATTACATAGTTATATATACATTTAAAGACCAAATATAAATACTTGTTTTTCTTGCAAAAGAATCTGTTTCTCGATGAAGAACCCCCACTGGTGCAATACAATCTAAATATATTAAGTAAGCATTCATTTTCTTTTGGCGCCCCAGATATGCAAGCACTGCCAACGCAAACATGATCTCGCAGATGACTTGTCATGTCAAGTGGCGCAGTTTTAATTGCATACCCATTTGGACACACGTCCATCGGGATCTTCGGACTCACCTTGGCTTCCAGCTTTTGGTTCTCCGCCTTGACCTCGCTGCGATCGCACTCGATCTTCTCCAGCTTCGCGCGCAGCATGAGCAACTCCTCGTTGGCCGTCTTTAGCTGCTCCTCGGTGCGGTGGACATTGAGCAGGGGGGTGACCCGGACCAGGAGACGCCACCAGGGCCAGTCGCGAACGGCCAGGAATGCCTTGACATTGCGTTGAATGCAGCGCACAGCCAGTTCCTGTGGGGGAAAAATGGTTAGGATTATAAGTGGTGACTCTACAGATCTTTATAGAGATGATTTACCTGAACCCGTCGCTGGGACATCTTTTTGCGAGCCAAGTAGCCGCGACAAAAGGCCTGCAGTTGTATAATACGATCTGAGAGCAGGACATCGCGCTTGGCTTCCAGATCACTGAGTACTCCTGAGCGGAAGAGGATCTAAAAAAATAAAATATATATATAAGTAAGTATTGGATGCTAAAATTCTAGGTAAGTCAAAAGATTAATAATCATTATTTAAAGCTCTTTAAAATGTATTTATTCTTAAAATTAAAATTCGAACACGCATACAGATTTCAGTTCAATCTGTATGCAGTATGTAACATCGAAACAAAACATCTTATTAAGCTTTAGGTTCAAGAACTTAAATTTAAAGTCATGTTTTTGAGTATGGAAGTCAGTGCTTAATCCGCGTAAGTTAATTAGGGAATCTCAAGACAAAACAATTCACATTTAGGGCTTTGGACCAGTAATTTTAAAGGAATTTAATCTTATTATGAGTAAACTCAAAAACTCAAAATAGTAGCAAATAGTATATTTCATCATCATGCAAAACGCTTTTTTAAACAACAAAATTTGAAAAAAGTAACTAAATAAAATGAAGTTGCATCAGTAACCTCAATTCTTCTTAATACTCGTACTACATTTATTTTTAAAAGTGAACAATAGGATGATTTGGTTCACTTTCACGTGTCAGGTGCACAATCAAACTTAAACCATTTAAGAGCAAAGCGGAGAGTGAGAAATCAAAAAATAAAATCACATCATTCGCAGGAAGTGAAGGTCAAGGTGGGTTGACTTGGCCCAGACCAAGCAAACGAAGATGGAGATTGGGATTAATGGAGGGGCAAAAAAGAGGAGAATTCAAATTATGAGCAATTTGAACACCTGTGCGCAAAAAAAGATGCCATACGCTCTTACAGGTGTGAAAGTGAGAAGAAGAAACGACGCCGGCAGAGGGCAATGAAAACGAAATTGTAAACAAGATATTGCCATAAAGGCATAAACATCACTGGAGTATATGGTGCCCTCTCCTAATGGCTAATGGAGGTGGTTCATGCAGGTGGAAATGCACAAAGTCAGCGGAATATATGTGTTTAGCATATTTAGGGCCACCGGGTTCCCATACAAATTAGCTGCTGAAAAGCCCCACCTTCGAGGTGTGGCCCCCATCTCAGTCCGTCTCTGTCTGTCTGTCTGTCAACGCCGAATTCGCGACCAAGTCGAGAAACTATTTTCTCGAAATTTTAATTATGCCCGGCACGTAGACAAAAATGAAAGTAAACCAATGTGAAATGGCAAACTAAACTGTCTTGTGCCGGCAATTGTTGAGTTTGGAGTGCTGGCACAGTCATCTCCTGCTGCTGGTGGATAGTTGGATGCATGGTCACTCGGATGAGACCACTTGGAACCCAGGGAGTGGTTGGTACCGACAGCGATCGATAAAAAACCATATGAAAGCACTTCTTTCTCGACGGTGCTAAAAATCTGTGGGCTTTAAAACACCCATTAATTCTAATTTCAGACTTGGAGAAAGCTAAGGCTATCATGGAAAAATGTCAATGGACATTTTTTGATCACACTGAAATTTAAAGGTATTGGTTTACCATTTCAAAATTACTAGAAAATATAACTTGGTATAGATATTATATCTTAAAAAAGTACTTATACATAGTATATATCCTATCTTCAGTTCATCATTACAGTCTTAAAAGTTGATAAAGACTTATAAAGATCCCAAAAATATGTATAAAACAACTCTCAATCCAGGAAACGTTGGCCAGAAACCAGGTGTTAGGTCCTCGTATATACCCAAAGGATCAGGGAAAACCAAACTAAAGCGGTGAAGGGGAAAGGATAGTGCCAGAGGAAAAGAGGAGAGATATAAACCCATAGCAAGTGGTTTTGTACAATAAATATTTATTCCATTTACAGCATACGTTAGATAGAGTTAGATATAGATATGGACAGATGCAGCCGAAAGTTAAGATTGGACTGGCTGGGGAGGATCGGAAGCAGAAGCGGGATCGGCTGGGCCGCTGCCAGGTCAGTGCAGCCGCATAGTTACCTCTTTCGTGTAGGTGGGATAGATCTCCACCTGGGTCTGGATGCAGCACACGGCCTGCACCTGGGCCACCACCTTGGTGGCCACTACATTCGAGGTGGGGCAGTGCATCGTAGAGATGGCACTTTGTTTTCCAGCCGCCGCAGCTGCCTCGAATTTCTGAAGAAGCTCTGCGATCTTGTTGGACTGTTTACCGCAGCTCTTAATCTCGGGTGGCTGCTCCTCTGCCTCGTCGCCCTCGGATTCGCAGAGACTCCCGGTTGAGTTGCTGGTGGAGGTGGATGTGGAGAGCTGTGTGTTGCTTATGTGTCCCGAATCATCCGAGTCCTCTTCCTGCTCTGCTCGGATTTCCTTAGTGGGTTTTTTAAGAGGCTGTTGCGGTGTGCTCTTTACATCCTGCACTACCTTCACCAGGAGTTCCTGGTTTTTGTCCGAGGTCTCTCCCAGCTTTGGGGGTATAATCTTGCAGGACTCCAGCTTGGGTCGGCCCACCTTCTCCTCGTTGGCGTAGTGCAGCTTCTGTAGCTTCTTCTTGTTCTTCACCAGCTGCGAGTGCTCCTTGGTGACTCCTCGACTGCTGGTCCTCTTGGGCTTCTGAGCACTCATGCTCTCCACCTGCCTCAGGATCTCCTGACCCTTGGCCAAACACTTGACCAGCAGTTCATCACTGTTGGCATTGGGTGACTTGGGTTTCAGGGTGGAGTTGGCTCTCCTGGGCACTAGTCTATTGGTTATTTGTCTCTTTTCCAGACTGGAGTTGGCTCGCTTGGGCATGGCTACAGCTGCTGGAAGGGCAGCCCTTGAAGGTCCAGTGGTATTTAGGGTTAGCATAGAGCGAGTGCGCTGTTTACTGGCTGTTCGCAGGCAAATGGGTTGCTCCAGGCAGAAGCTTTCGCTGCGCTTGCGCAAACTGGACTGCTTGCGCACTGGTATCTTGCTGCCACTCAGATCACTCAGGGAGTTGTATCTGGAATCGGTGCTTCCTCCACGTAGTAGCAAAACTGATCCTGCTAGCTCCGGGGATTGGGTAGACCTGTATCCTGGATCTGCCCATGCTCAGGGTGCTGTGTGACTTGGCCAACATGGGCTGGCGATCGCTGAACTCCGCAGGTGGAGCGGGTAGTTCTTCCTGAGGAGCAGCCATCTTAGTCCCTTCCAAAGGTGGATACTCATTGAGTATTTGATCGAAGCTCTGGAGCACTTCATTCAGTTTGCTTTCATCGTGAGCCACCTTCTCCAGCTCCGCGAAGATCTCATCCTCCAGCGATTGTTGGGCCAAATTGAGACTCAAGCTCAGGTGACTCTCCTCATCGCTGTCCACATAGCTGCAGACGCTGCTGCTCATCTGGCTGGGAATTTGCTGGATCGGAACAGGACTGATGGGCACCGCCTTGGGCGTGTACTTCCCACCCACACATCCTCCATCCACCGCTGTGCAAAGGGCACTCATGGATCTGGTGTGCTTGCTCCCTTTATAATACATTTTCCACTCAACTTGGGCGTTAAATTATCCTCGATTTTGTGCCTTATGTGCGAGAAGAACTTCTTGCCCGCCCCTAATCCATGTTTGGGCGATGTGGGCGTGGCAGTTACAACCGATGGAGGATTACTGCGCACCTGGCTCAACTTGGACTTGACCGTATGCTTGTACATTGCTCCGGATTATGTAAAGCAACTGTCCAGCGACTGGCAATGGCACTGAGTAAAAGTGCATATAATTTCGCAATAAATTGCAGTTTCCTTTTCAATAACTCGGAGGCAAAACTGGTGACCACCACTTTCACGGCTTGGGCGGCTCTGCAACTGCTCTGGGTTGTGGATCTGGTATGGTGTTTTCTCTTCGGGCTCGGCGACGCAACTGAATTGGCTGGCCAACAGACGCAGCCCGAACCCGAGTCCGAGTCCAAGCCAAATGCTGGCTCTGCATTCGAAAGTGGCTTATCGAGAAACGGCTGGCACATAAACACACAGCTCAAAAACTTGGCTGAGGTCGCGGTCGCTGGTAATCGGCCGAGGGAAAGGGGCGAGTGAATGCAGTGGACAGACCAAAGACCAAAGAAACCGAGCCACCGAGCAGCGACCCCCAACCACCAGGCCGCGATCCTCCGGCTGGACCAATGATGCTAATTACCAGCACCAACAATTGGCCACACATGATCGACTTGCGGCTACCCAGCAGCATGAGCATAATCAGTCACATCATCGCCATCGGGGTAAGCCGTCATCATCATCATTGTCGTCACAAAGAAAAGTGAAGCAATGGAACTGCCCTCGGCTGGTTATTTGTGTGCTTCCATTTTCCATTTTGCCTTTTCATTGCCAGCAATTGGACTCGCCCTGCCTGACCCACACAAAAGACCCAAAGAGATCCACGGATGGGCTGGGCAAAAGTGCCATGTTCATTGGGGACAAATAAATATTGGTATAGGCTGCTCTGGTCTAGACTTTAAAGGTTGCAACACGGTTGAAAGGTCGTTAACCAGAGCGGGTTCTGTCCACAATTGGAAATTGTAATGGTCAGGTTTCCAGTTTCGATAGTTATAAATAGAATCAACATCAATATTTGTGCAGAAGCAGCTTATATCAATATTTACAATGTAATGTAAATAAAATGGTAACTAATGGTATGAGAAAAAGATCTCCTGCATATATGACACTATTTCTAACCAATTTACACTATTAAAATAAGATAAAAATATTCCTAATAAAGGAAAAAGTAAAAAAAAATCCATTTATAAATGTTTTATCTGTCAAAATTGCAAAATATGTTCCATTGAACTTTATGATTAGATTGTTTGGCAATACCATTAACCTCGGACGACATTTTATCATCACAGCCTTGCTAATATCCACAAAATCTTCGAAAACAATTGCACGTCGCATTTTAAGATCAGGAAATCCTTGATCCCCCGCAGTCATCATTACCATGATCGTGACAGAAGCTGCCGTAACGATGTCATTGGGGCTTCCCTTACGGTTTATTTTTCTTTATAAATATTTTTTGTGGCTGCAAATTGAGGCAATTACAAGAAACATAACTGAAAACAAAACAAGTCCGGCAAATGTCGATGGGATTACACAGTCCCGGTTCGAAACGCATCGCACGCAGCTTCCTGGTTATTGTTTCATAATTAAAAACTAGTTTACATATTACTATATATGCAGGGCTCGTCTCGGGGGCCTGAAGATTAAAGCTTAAGACGCCAGACGCGCCCCCTTCCCAAAAAGGGAGGCGTTAATGAAGTTTTCGTGTCTCGATTGCGTTTGGTTCGGGCTTTTATTTTCCCATCCCAACGATCTTAAACAACAATCCATCCATCTATCCGAATGGGATGGCTAATTTAAAAGCTATTTCCCCGTTGACAGAACCCGCCTCAACGGAGTTATATAATCATGTTCGGCACAAGCAGACAGACATCAGCCGCCAACGAACCACTCCCCATTTCTAATGAAAGCGAACGCTGAAAATTTCACTTTGGTTTTGGAAAAAAAAAAAATTTAATGTGCACTGGTCAAATGTGGTTTCTCAGTGAGGCGAATGCAGGTTGCAACGTCATTTTGGATTTTTTTTTGTTTTTTTTTTTTGGTGAAAGTCGGCGAGGCGACAATGCTGTAGCCGTGCGTGTGTTCGTAATCATAATCGGGGGAATCGGTATTGGTTTCGGATTTGGCTTCGGATTTGGACACTTTCCCGTACGTACAAGGCAGAGGCAGACGAAGGCACAGCCAATGGCCAGCAAACCCAGGATGGGATCCTCCTGCCCCTCGTCACAGAAAAGGCTTAGGATTTGAACCCTGTTGCGAAATGATGCAGCGGCCACACTCGCGTTGCCGTTCCATGGCAAACAAACTGCGCTTTTATCCGACCACATCTCGTCGAGAGCTCAGGCGATTTCCATTCGCAAAGTTCAACTGAGGCGGCGGCCCATCTTCCAGAGGCGCAGAGATTACATCTGGGGAATTCTTATACGCGCAGCAGCGACACAATGGCGAGATGAACTTGACCGTGAAAGCAGCCAGCGTCATCGGCGAGCGGAGAAAGAGACTCAAACTCGAACTGGACTGGCTGCAAGTGACGTCAAAGTGGCTTTATTACGATCACTTCACCGACCACTGACCACTGACCACTGGGCACTGGGCACCGAAAGCACAGTTCGATTCACAGTTGGACCGCTGAGAACAGGAAATAAAACACTCAGACGGGCAGTCGAGTGAGTCCAGAGATGTGGCATGTAACCGATATCTTCCCAGGCAGAGAAGACACCTGTGGACAGGGATTTAGGGACAGCCAGGTGGTGATTTACAACAATAAAGAATAATTGGAACTGTCCCTAGGATCCACAGAAATATATTTGAACATTAATTAAATCCAAATACCTTTACTATATAGTTCGAATATTTCAAAATACTAAATCTCCATCTTTAGTTCCAGTAGTTTGTCTTCTGTATTGATTTTTTCTAACACTTTTATATATATAGATATGCATGTTTTTGTAAGCTATCGAAAAACAAGTCCAAACCAACATAGGTAAATAAACAATAAAAACTGAATGACTAAAGATACATATGAAAAGTGAATTTTATCCAGGAAGCCTCAAGCTTTTTCTCTTAGCACCTTCCCTCAAATGTGCCAGGTGCGAATTTTTTTTAGAATGTCTCACTTACGAAGTAGTGTTACCAAGAAAGACAAGAAATTCTAGTTTTAGCTTTACGACTTTAAGCAAAAGTAAATCAAACTTTTGGTTCCAGTTCCAAAAATAAATTATTCGATATTCTAATTTGCTGAATAATTTGCTAAATAAAGCCTACAACATTTGTGAAAGAGACTGTTGAATACAAATAAAACGTGTCATCGTTTTGGCAACTCATGCTTAGTGAGTTGGGCTCCTAAGTTTGAGATTTCCTCAATATGTGCCCTCTGCTGTGGAGTGGATCCACCTGGAAAGGGATCGCGATGATTGAGAGGTGCCCATTTAATATAATAATTGCAGGTTAAGTCCAACTTAATGAAAGGATCCTGCTGACGAGGCGGTGATTGTTCGCATGCCAATTGCAATTACCAGGAGAGACTGTCTGAAGTTTGAAAACGTTTCAATACTTGTCGATTGACAGCCCACGAATTCCAAGGTAATTTCTCGATTAGATTGAAAGTAACAGCAAATTGTTTGGACAAATACACGGAACAATGCCAACAGATTCCGCTGCGTTGCGTTTCGTTTGAGTTGGCCATAATAACAATAAGCACATATTATGTGTTTGCCTTAAAACGTAAATCCTGTCAATAAACTTTTTGTAACAACTCGGCGCGAGATCAGCACACACGACAATGGCCAACGCCACGCACGGGTTTAACGATCTTAAAAAAAGATATACTATACACATGTTAACATGAGCATGAATGAGTTTAAAACCAAACATAACAGAGAGGAAGAGTCGTAAACCCAACCAAATACCTGCTAAATGGTTTGCAAAACAGCCGAAAGTTCCAAAGCCCAGATCTCTGAGCTGAACCCTAACCCACTTGGTATCTTTTGGCCCAGTCATTTCGTTTGCTACAGGTGAAAAGTGAGGAAGTGCCAAGTTCTAAGTGAGATCGACAACTCGAGGCTTTCTGTTTACCAGACCTACTTTTATTAATTTGGAATTTGATCTGAATCTGGCTCAATTAGAGTCTGCTCTAACTACAAATTCTCGTTTTGTAAAATACAATTATAGCTAAATAATTGCTAATAATTTTTGTCAGTGAGAAGATCGGTTTACTTATTACTTTGTTGTTTGCCGTGCAATTATTTAATTTATTTAAGACAATCAATCACATTGTAATGAACAATCCCTTTCGAAACGACAGTTCAATTTTATTGACTCAGACTTTGATAATTTTCCAATTAATATTAATGATACCTCGGGCCAACTTATATAAGCAAAGATCAACCAATGATGGCGTTATCGACCCGCAACTGTAAATCAGTGAGAGATATGCGTGTCGATTATATTATGCTAGCAAAATCATTTATAATCAATGCATACATGAATAACTAAGAGATCAGACCAGTGGCCAGTGAAAGCCTATTGACCCATTATAAAGCATGTTGTGTGGCTGAAGAGGCCGATGCTACGACTCAGGAGATCTGTAACTATAGGCCATATAGGGTTTCGATAGATATAATATGTTATTTAAATTTTTGAAATTATCTGGATCCAAATACACTCATACAACCTAATCACACAAATCTTACAGTGTTGTCAAACAAGAAACATTATAAAAAAGTAACAGCGACCTAGATTATTAGTTAGCCACTATAACAACTTTGTAATAATACACATTTTTGATAAGACAGAGTCTGTTGTCAGTGATTTCGATCCATTAAAAACCTTTTGATGTTGAAACTAGCATCGATTCCCATCGACCTGGTCGGCATCCCTTTATGGAGGGTCCGTGAAGTGTTTGCCTGCACTTAGCCACGAGATCTGTGTTTTGAGCTACTCAGCTACTGAGGGATCGGCGATGAGGGGCTGACTGCATTGGCCAGGCCCGCTGTCGTTCCAACGATCCAACCAGTTCATCATGACAGTGACCGCTGCTGCTGCTGCTGAGGCTGCGCCGGTAGGCCGCCCTTGCCGGCGGCAGAGACAGAACGCAGCGGGCTTTATTTAACCAAGCCTCCATCTAGAATTTTGCAATACTTCGGTCCGAGGCATGTAACGAATCGGATCTCTGCCGTCTGCGACAGGTTAGCTGCTTAAGCCCGACTCAGATATTTCACGTTCTTTTTAAGAGCGGCACGAGCGTCTGATAAAATTTGGATCGCGAATCGAAAAACAACAAAATATCTTAAGTCGCACTCAAGTGGATTTTAATCGACGCCTTTCGTGAATTGTCATCGCGTTTTTGGCCAAAGACAGTGCGGTTTATGGGATCGTTAAGGGGAATGCATATATTAGGCCGGTGGCTGTGGCTGCTGCTCCTTGGCTGTGGGAAGTGAGTTTCGATCGCATCAATCCGATTTTTATGATCGATTTTTAAGTATTTTTCCCTGCTTTCCTGTTTTAGTTGATGCGTCAATTCAGTTATTTGGTTATGCCCCCGGAAAGTGCGAGATATCCATTGCGGGTGTGATCCAAGATATGCTCAACACGGAAGCCCGCATCATCTTCGGAACACCACGCCCGTCGCAGACAAAGCTACTTCGGTACGATCTCTATACTCCCCTTAATCCCGAGGAGCGTCAGTTGCTGCGACCAGGAGACCTGAACTTGCTAAGGAACTCGCACTTCAATCCCAAGTGGCCAGTGAGGTAAGTGCTGCCAATCAACTATATTTGACTAACAAAGTAATATTGTATGCTAAATAGAGGAACTAGATAGTAATAGTTGTCAAGGTCTTATTTTTCATAGTGAACTCATATAACCTCACAGTATTGTTGTAAATCAGAATAATTATATAGGCTATTAACAAAGTTGCAAAGATCCAATTTACTAAACAATCTCTAGAACAAAACAACTTAGTAAGATTACGGATTTTCTTTACAAAGTCTGTTGTGAATCATTTTGATCCATTAAATACCTTTAGTGGTTTAATATTATATAACAATCACCTAATTATTTGTTCTCCTATTTTGTAGGGTCTCCATTCATGGCTGGGCGGGTAAAAGTGTCTCCTGCTCGAATGCCGCCATCAAGGATGCCTACTTATCCCGGGGCAATTTCAATGTCATAATCCTGGACTGGAGTCGCCAGGCCTTGGATATCAGCTATCCCCGTGTGTCAAGCAGCTGCCATCGATAGCTGCCAATGTGGCCAAGATGCTGCGCTTTCTGCACGACAACACTGGGGTTCCCTACGAGCAAATCTACTTGGTGGGTCACAGTGCTGGGAGTCACATCTCCGGACTGACTGGAAAGATGTTGAGGCCAAACGATTGGGTGCCATTTTCGCATTGGATCCTGCTGGCCTCACTCAACTCAGCCTTGGACCCGAGGATCGGCTGGATATCAATGATGCCCTGTATGTGGAGTCACTTCACACTGATTTAACACTTCTGGGGAATCCGAGTACCAAGCTCAGCCACGCCTCCTTTTTCGCCAACTGGGGACTGGGACAGCCACATTGTCCCAACGCCACGGCCACGGAGTTTGACTTTGTATGCGACCACTTCGCGGCCATGTTCTACTTTGCCGAGTCAGTGCGTCAGCCCAGATCTTTTGCCGCCTTGCGCTGCAGTTCGGCGCAATCTGTGCGCTCGGCCACCTGCAACTGCAACAGCAACAGCAACAACGGTGGGGGTAGAGGCAAAAATGCAGTTCAGACTTGCACCGGCAACGAGTTCATGGGAGGTGAGCCGGCTTTGCCCAAGAGGGGTATCTTCTATCTGAGCACACGGCCGCAGTCGCCATACGGCTCCAATGATGGCCTGGTCCACATCCGACGACCACGGCCGTCCACAGTTCGGGAGACGGCCAGACGGCGGCCATTTGGATAGGTGTCGATCCAAAGCGAGCGAAGCGAATTTGCGACAGACCAAAAAGAGATTTTATACACTACATATTTAAGCCTAGCCTTAGCCAAGAGCCAATCCGCCCAAAGAATGCGAATAAAGCACAGATTACGTTACAATTAAAAATTCATGGCGTATTCCTTTAATAAAACTGGAGCACTCTTATAATTATTTTGCCCTTTTTAATTTCCATTAACTATTGAACGTGTCGAGTCAATGTCAACTCTTCGGACTAACCAACTAATTACGCGTGAGTAAAAACAATTAGATGGGAGTTGCCTTCAACAGCGATTGTGATAAATATTATAGGAACGTGAGTTACAAAGACAACTTGAGGGGGAGAAACGACAGAGAGGCACCAAACAAACTGGTTCATCGACTGGCAGTTCCAAAAAAATAAGCAATTAAGACAAAAAATATTTAAGACACATGTGTGTTTACTTGAACCTGTTGGTCTAACTACTAAAGTAATTAGAAACCATTCAGACTAAGCAAATAAATTGTGCGCATAATTGATTTATAAGTTATGGTTTTTCAATTTTTCTAAGGAGGTGTAGGCCAAAAAGTCAACAGCTTTATATCATCTTTACCAGAGTTTACAACTTATTGGTGATATATATAAAAAAATATATGATGTCGTTTAACTTATAGATCCTTATAAACTTCCCACATCTTCGTTAATTTAATAAGTTAATATTTTAATGTTTAGGGACTCACCTGACTAGGTCCAATGCGATAGCTGGCCACATCCAGCTCGTTGACAGCTAAAATCTGCTCCACGCTCACATCCTTGTTGCTAGCCAAATCACCGGCCAAAAGACCAAAGCGACGGACAAACTCCAATAATGGCACTGATTCAGGAAAGCCAAGGCGATGCAAACGAGCCGCTTCTAGGACTTGCGAGCCACGTAGCTAAAGGATACAGAAAATATTAAGTTAATAATAGAACTCTACACACGACTGATCTAAAGCCTACCTGACTTCTTAACAGTGGCACATTGACCATTTCCTCCTCGCTGGCGCCCTGACCAGCAGCTGAGCTGGGCGAACCATTTGCGGTGAACTTGGTGTGTTTGCCAGCATTGTGTTGCAGTAGATAGCAGTGGACAAAGTGAGTGCCTGTGCGTCGCAACGTGTCGATGATTCCGTCTACGGTGAACTTCACCTGCAGCATGATGGAGTTGCGTTTCACTCCGGCCGTGGTGAAGGAGCGACGAATGCTGGACACGCGACGCAGCGACTGAGTGCCCTCCAGTCCAGCAAAGGAGCCACAGAAGACCATTGCTCCCGAACCACGTGTCAGTGAGCCGATGTACAGGCGGTTGATCTCCTCCCTACTGCTGTCCTGCAGCAGGGACACAGCATTTCGAATGCCTGGATGCTCGCGACTATGCCGCACCCAGCCATCAACGGCATACAGCACGGGATTGGTGCCCTGCAGATGGTGGAGCACGAACTGTCGCGGTCCGGCGCACTTGCGCAGCAGCGAGTGATGTTCCCGGTCACCGTAGTGCGAGAATAAACGCTCGAGGAATGTGTCGTCGTTGGAGTTTGGATAGATGGCTTCCTCATCCAGTAGCCTAAAAAAGAAATAATTTCGTGAATTAAATTGAATTGAACTGAACTCACTTATAGAACTGAACTCACCATAGCATGCCCCGACGATCATGCTCCGCAAATCTCGCTGGGATGAGCGCACCACATGGTTCTGGGGAGCCTTGTCGATAAGCGAAATCAGCGGACCTGGATGGCACTCGGAAGCCTGGTCCATCTCGATTTCCACTAGCTCCTGGGCATAGCGATCGCGGGGCGCGACCAGCGTGGTGTGATGGAAGAGCATCTGTAGTCGCTCCTGCAGATAATTGTGACGCAGATCCGCCAATGTAGCGCCAACCTGCTGGCCACAGCTAGCAGGATTTTGGAAGCCAGGCGTGTCAATGAGCATAATTGAGGCTATTGTGTGGGCTGATGTGCAGATCTGACGATTGATCAGAGCCACTACTGCAGCCAGAGCCTCCGAGTAGAGACCGATGACCAGTGCCTCTAGACATTCCCAGGCCCACTCATGGCCAGTGTCAGAGGTGGGCGACTTCGAGGGACTAAGACCGCCATTGGGGGCGTTGGGCTGCGTGAGACCAAAGGCAGCTGATGACAGATCCTCCAGATTCACGCCTAGCAGACCCGATGCCTTGCGAGCGGCCGTGGGATTGGCAAACTGAGTGCGGGCTGTGAGCCAGTGCCCAGTTTGTGACACCCGCAATGCCCAGGTGGTAGATGGCCGCCAGAATGCTCCAGATTCCGCGCACTGCCTTGGCATCAATGTTCAGAGTCTCAAAGGCCTGTACCGTACGCATAAAGTCATTGGCCGCTCGATGACGATCCTCCAGCTTTTGCGATAACGATATGAACGGGTGACTATCCTCGGAGGTGATGTTCTCCAGGTGCAGCTCCTTCTGCAGCAAACCAGCGGCGCCAGCCAAGAGTCGCGTCATGATGTGGAAGCTATGTTCATGGCCCAAACGACGTCCAGCTCTCTGCCGCTCCGGTAGAAGAACCTGGGCGAGAAACATGATATAAAAACTACACGATTGTCGGTATTAATTGAAAACTTACCTGCAAAGAAGCCGATGCAATCTGGCCGGTTTGGTCGAAATCCAGGCTCAACAGCTGCGTCATCCTCGTGGCATTCGAATTGAGGCAAGTTTTTGTATTACCAAAAGCCTCCAGAATGGTGCACAGGGCATTAACCTTCTCCGCATTTATGAAGTTATTATAGGCACCTGAGTAACAGAAGAGAAAAATGATTTTATTTTTTTTGTAGGACAAGTATCTTTTGAATTCCTTATATCAAAACAAAATTCTCATTTGTGCATTTGAATATTCATTATCTTTTGTTTTGATTTCGGTTCTCGGTGATCTTGATAATGAGGAATAACAAAAAAAAACGCTTTACCATTTTACAAAAAATCTTTAAAATATACCGGTTTTCTGTATACTTTGAATATTTAGATTTTGATATATTATATAGAAAGTAAAGTAGACTTTGATGTATTTAAATATTCAAATCAGTAAAGTAGTCTGACTTGTATAATTTTCTTAGACAATATCAGTTGCCCAATCAAATTAAATATCAATATGTATCTTGACAATTTACATTTTCATTAGACTTTTCCCTTTTTGGGACATAAATCTAACAATGGAACCGAATTGGAGGCTTGACTAATTGCAGCTGCATTTCTTGGCCAACAATGCAAATGAGCCAATCGAACGCAGATTGCATTTTGGTGTGGCACGGCGCAAACTGGGCCAGCCAGCAGCAGCCTACAGCCCGCAGCCTACGGCCAAAAGGAAAACAAACTACAAATAATAAACAACAAACAACAAATGCAACTGAAACTCGAGTGCGAGTAGGAGCAGCCACGACAATAAGATGGTGGAAACGCATACCAGCTGCCAACGCCAGGTAGTTGAGTGCATGCTTGAAGCTAGTGGATTTGCCAGAACCAGATCGGCCCATGAATATCAAGCTCTGGTCGCGCCGCGTCTCGACCAGGCTCCTGTAGGCGGTCTGGGCCAGTGAATAGACGTGGGGCGGCATGTCCTCCGTCTTGCAGCCGCGGAACATGGAGACAACCCTACGAACGAGAGACAGCAGCCGATAAATAACCCGCTCGGCCCAGTAACCAGTTGGTAGCTAGTGACGACTACCTTCTCGGAGTAGAGGGACAGCGGTGCCATGGGATTGACCACGAGCAGCGTGGGCCCCGCCTTGGTGTGGATGAGATTGCTGGCGTATCGCTGGCGGAGGCAGTGCAGCACGGACGCCTCGTTCAGATACTTTAGCTCGCAGATGTCCTCGGCGAGATCCAGGGCGGGGCTGTTCTGCTTCTCCACATCGTCCTCGTCGACGGTCAACTGCTCGCCATTGTGGAGGAGGCGCAGGTTCAGCTTGTGCTCCTCATCCCGACCAGATGACGACGACGGCAGACGGATGGCGGCAGTGAAGCCACCGCGATGCACCAGCCAAACACGCTCCGGCTGACTGGCATCCGCCACATCCGCCTCCAGATTGTGGCCCACTCCTTCGGCTCCTCCTACTCCTACTCCTCCTCCTTCTTACTCCTCCTCCTCCTCCGCCATTGCCATTCTCGTGGCGGCTCTGCGAAAAGATGGAAAACAAACAAAGCAAACATGAAAATTGAGTTAAATTGGGGTCAACATTTTGTCGGCGCAACTTCAACTGAAGCAGCAGTTCGGCGGTGTGGGGTGTACATTGGGTTTATTTTCGGATCGGCGTGGATCGGGGCACATTTTCACGCATTTATTCCATTTATTATCCCTACTCCACCGCCGCAGTCAGTCAACGGAATCGGCAGAGTTTCTTTCGGTTTATTTCGGGTGCATTTCTAAATTTGATGATGTTTCTAAATCCTAATTAGCCGCCTAGACGCGCCAAATGCTATTGGGCTAGACAGCCAAACCGACGGCGACGACGACGCGGATGCGCCATTATGCAACCCACCAACGTCGTCGCCGGCATCAGTTCACATTTGTGGCTATAAATGGCATTTAGCCGAGGCAGTCTCCCAAGCGCCCAAGCTCCCTGCTCACCAAGATCTTCCTCCTCGCGGTATCCGCAAGATAGATCTTCTCCCGAATTATGAAAATATTGTGCAAGGTTCAATAGCCCTCAATTAAAGGCACGTTTCGGAAGAGTCTGCGCGGGATGTAATTAATTTTGTAGATGTTGGGAAAGCCGGAACGGATAGGAAATCGAATGTAGTCTTTCATTAGGTTCTTAGTCACTTTGGTTTTATGGATTTTCAACAGTTTCATAACGGTTCTTTAGGGACTTTTAATTTTATGGAATATATTTCCGTGGGAGTAGGCTTAATATAATTTTCTTGGAAAAATTCATCAGATTCGAGAACGTTTAAGGGATTTAGGAATATGATTACTCATGTAAAGCATATCCATTAAATATACATGTTATATACCCTTCTAAAAAGATTGGCCTTTTCAATAGAGATTTTAAACATGTAGGACGAACATAAATGTATATTCAAATGGAGATGTAAACTCTATCAAAAAAAAAAATAAAACAAAGAGGAATTCAAATTAAATAAATACGCCCTTGAAAGTAGTACAAATCACACCCCATTTAAATGGAA